ATGAGATCTTCTGGGAATGCTCTCCTCTCTGTCCCACCTTCCTCACAAATACATCTGGTTGAAACACAGGAGACGGCTAGGGTGGATGCTCCCAGGCTTGGAACTCTTCCCTATAGAGGCTAGACTGGCACTCTAACTATTGTCCTTCTGTAGGCAGGTAAAGATTTTTTTTCATCAGGCCTTTAATAATGTGTTGTATTGTCTACATTTGTTTTTTTCTTTGTTTAATAGGTATTCTTTTAATTGATTTTAATTCTGATGATAGTTTAATTATATTTTAACTTTTGTATGATGGATACCTTTAATTATATCTTTTTTAACTCTAGTAAGCTGCCTTAAGCCCAGAGCTGTGAAAAAGGCAGGAAATAAATAAACAAATAATTACCACCATCACCATCTTAAGAGGAAGTCCAGAAGAAAAATTCAGGAAAGAATTCCTTCTGCTTAGTTACTATGCAATCTGTTTTCTATCGAAGTCAACAACGTAACCTTCTTTGACTCTAATAGTGCTAGGCTGAATCTTTAAAGCCAACTCATATGTTGTATTTTGCTGGAGATATTTAGATCCTATGTTTGTACTGTGTTTGCATAAGCAATGCAGTGTATAGGGAAGGCACTTACACAGAACCATCCATTGTCAACTCAAATACTCACAGAACTTGACACCAATGTTGATGTTACTATTTTACCAGTGTACTATGATTCTATGATTCTAAGTACTGTAGTTCAGTCACTAGAACTGTTCACTGAAAAAAAAAAGCAGTTTATGTTACAGGGAGATTTTTTTTCCTGTCCTTCTATTGCCTGTGCAATATTCTAATTTTTAATAACATTCCCCAATCTCTATTGTGCTTTCCCTGCATTTCTGTGATGCTCTCTGAGCAACCTTAATGGTTAGAATTAATTCTTCTTTACAGTAGAATTCTGTCCCATTGATTATGTCAGCATTTTCTTGGTCACTTTGCTTATTTTGACTCATGTGGATATTTTAGTCCCACCATTTTCTTTCTTAGAATCTAACCTTCTTTGTCAAAGTACTAGAGTGGAACTTTACAGCTTTTCATGTTATCCTGCTTTCTTGAAGTACAACAGAACCATTGATTATCTTTCAATGCAAAATCACATTTGGAAAACCTTGCTTGTATCATCCACCACCCCATCCTAAGAGTGGATCCTTTCAAGAAACCACACAGGTATTATGTTTGGTCAACTTCTGTGCAGTTCTTTTATTTTATCTGTCAGTAAAGGAGAACCTAAAAGGAAACACAGAACATTTTCTCTTACATAAAGTTGGGTTAAGAGACACAAGTCACAAGATCAACAGTGTGATGTTTTTTCAAAGTTAAAGAGGTTCAGATATTTGAAAGACCTGGCAAAGATTTGTAAAAATTATACGCTTTTCTTTATATGTTCAAACTAAGGATTCGGGGCTAATTGTGTCTGGGAATCCTTTTCCAAGCTCTGATTCTGACTTTCATTTTCTAAAATTAGCTGGGTACATTTCATGTGACTGTTTTCAGTTTAAGTCATGATGACTGGAATCTTGTTGAAAGTGAATGAAGCCCTTATGCATACTTAGGAGCTGACCTAGGGCGGCTTCCCATGTGACATTTTTGTTGTAATGGAATAATGTCCATGTAAGGGATGGGAGGTTAATAACATGTTTTGCCACACAAACATTTGCCCACAATGGCCATGTGTTTTAGAAAATGCTCCCAGTTGGAGCTTTGAGAGACATGTATGCCCAGCAAAATAAACATCCATGCCAATGTTAGTGTTTTATCTCATTTGTGTTATAGGGCTTCCAGCACCTTTGGGTTCTTCCTGTGGCTTCCTTGTATGAGAGTGCATACCATTTTCGTGTTGCTGTTCCTGTGAGTCTTGGTTTCAAAATGCAATTCATAGTAAAAGAGAAGAAAAATCATTTAGTGATAATGGGACCTGATGTTAATTTGCCTTTGTTTGTCTGTCCCAACAGGACTTTGCTGACTGTTCAACCGATCCTAACTATGCTGGGATATTTTTCACGGACTATTATTTCTATTTCTACCGCAACTGTTTCTGAATGGGCAGCTTGAACTCTCTTTGAAAGGGGGGGGGGGGGGGGGGAGAAAACCTTTTGGTGCTTCAGAGATTTTTGTTTGTTACTGCAGGTATAGTCCTTCTGTCGGGACAGATGGGGGTATTGCCTTCTTTTCTGTGCTGGAACTGGTTGTAGTTCCAGGCCTCTCCAAGTCTTTGTTTTGGTGCTGAACGGATGCATGCTACTGCTATAGCATAAGTTTTATTGTGATAAATGATGCAACAGATGGTACACAGTGGAAAAACAGTCCAGGCCTTTGGCTGATAGGGTCCAACATCCCCTGAAAGCCAGTGGAAGAACTGTGCCCCCAAGAAGTGAATTCTACCCAGACTATTCCCAGCAGTAATCAAATTCTCCATCACTGGCTATTGGGTACAAAGTGCACAAAGTGAACTAACTCCCCCCCCCCATAGCTGTGAGAATTATGCAAACAAGTTAGTAACAAGAGGTAAATTCACTACCCAGTCTTCTTTCAGCCTTTGTATCTTTTCCCTTTCTCAAACTGGTAAACAAATACAAAAAAGTATCAAAGTCACTAGTACAAATTATCCCTTTCCATACCACTGGAAGGCTGGCCATGATGCTAAAAAGGACTCTACAGCCCATCTGCCTATATCTAATCTGCCCATCTAATCCCCAATAGCCTCCCAACCAGGGAAGTAGCAAAGTAGATGTAGCTGGCTCAGCCTCTGGCAATCTCTTGACTTCCTTGGTAACTCCATCTACTGCTGGTGTTTGTTATCTTATTTCCCCCCCCCCCTTTCTTTCCTGATGAGTACTTGCTGGAGTTTCATTTTTAATATCTCTATGTTGGAAATAAGAGGAACTAAATAAAATGGAAGCTATGGGTGGTTTGTTTGAAATGTTCATAATCACTGCTAGTAAAACCAAATGATTGTCGGCAAAGAGAACATTTGAGCCTGCTTCAATATAAGTTGATTTCAGTCCTTAAGACTCATTTGGCTTAAATCCAACTATCTGTCTGCTTTAGTCTGTGGATTGGACCATAATCATTTGTTTTAATGGTGGTACAGAACAGAATAAACTGGATGGAAACAATCTTATTTTGCAGAGCCTCTTGATGTGTTTAACAGTCCTCTTAACTAAACAGAGACAATTTGACTTCTAATGGGATTTGGAGGATATATAGGAGATTGCAGTCTTGTAAACCCATGTTAATCAGTCTAGAAGGGGAAAAAAGATCATGTCAATTAAGCAACAAAACAATGTTTACTGATTTAATCCATAAATGTCCACTGAACACATACACTCCCCCTCAAAAAAACCCAAACAAACTTAGACTGAATCCTCAGCTGATGCAGTCATACAAGTCTCTTCTGTATATATGCCAGGATGATTTTGCAGTGACATTAAGCATTGTCAGCTGGCAATCTCTCTAATCATGAGAGTACAGCATGTGCATTTTGGCTGATTATGTATGTCAGGGTGGGATTTGTACAAACCCCTGGATGTTATTGGAATGCACCTCCTAGTAGCCCTGGAAAGCATAGTAATCAGGAATGCTGGGAACTGCAGTCCAGCAACATGTAGAGGACAACCTCTTATCTCTGTTCGGCTAAGCATGCTGACTTCCATACATGTGTAAGCAAACATTTGATACTTTTGGTTAAATATAAATTTGGGATTTTAACCTAAGAGGTTTGGTGGAACCTTTAAGGCATAACCATGTTTCAACTATAACCACAAACAGAACAAAGAAAGGGAATGTTTTCCCCTTTGGGCTAAACCTCCTAGAATCCCCCAGGTGGCATATAGAAATTTTGGCCATACAGGCCCACAAAGCAGTGTTTCCAAGCTGGGTACAGAAAACCTAAATATTAACATTGAAGTATAATACAATTTCTCTTCCTAACTAATGCATGGCAGATTGAAGCAATGAGATTTAACATGAATCTTGATTTACTTTTCATCAGTTGATTAAATAAGTCTTTTCTCTAGTTGAGATTAGAGACTGGATTTTGGTTTTGGCACCATGATGTGTACCTGTTACCCAGATTGCCCTTCAGATTCAAAATATTAATAACTCCATATGCCACCCTTGGAT